TCCTAGCACTTTGGAAGGCTGAGGCGGGTGGATCACAAGGTAAAGAGTTCGAGACCATCCTGGTCAACATGGTGAAACCCCGTCTCTACTATAAATACAAAAATTAGCTGGGCATGGTGGCACATGCCTGTAATCCCAGCTACTCAGGAGGCTGAGGCAGGAGAATTGCCGGAACCCAGGAGGCGGAAGTTGCTGTGAGCCGAGATCATGCCATTGCACTCCAGCCTTGGTAACAAAAGCGAAACTCCATCTCAGAAAACAAAACAAAACACGCAACAACAAAAAAAAACTGACTTCTTAGTCAGTATTTGCTATACAACAATGTTTCATTATGGAGAAACAAGGACTGTAGGAATAGTAGCCTAAGCTATGCTATTACATTATTAGTTCTTGGATATTCATGAAAACCCAGGAAAAGAAATCCATATTCACTGTAAATGCTTTTCTGAAATCATTTCCCCAGTAACTTGCTATAATTAAAAATATTACTAGGCATCATGGGTAAGATTAATTTAAACACCAATGCAAAATTGTATTATTCTTTCATTAATAATTCATGAAATTTTGATTGCCATGTCAAGAATTAGAAAAACTATTTATGTAAATTTAGGATCTAAGAATTAAAATTACATTAAGGAACTATATTAGCAAGAGGATGGAAACCTTTTGTATGATAATGACTTAAAATTGGACTTCAGTTTGAAATATTTAAATTATAATAAAGTAGAGGATTAGGATCGATTTCGTTATCTGTAAAATATAGGAATTGGAATTAAGTGTTCTAAGTTATTAGCACCTTTAAATACTACAATTCTAGACAAGTATGTATATTTTTAAACTCATCAACAATTCTGAGAATAGAAATTAATACAAATATACCTTTTAGATAAAAAATATTTTGCTAATTAATATGTCATTATAGATATAACCTTAAATATGAATTTATTATATAACACATGCAGGTTTTGTGTGGTCAATAGGAGCTCAAGGGAAATCTGGAATAAGTCACACTGGAAACAAGATCTCCAGGGCTATCTGCCACTGGTGCTCGGCCTCTGTGGGAACATCGAGGGGAATCTGAGCAGTATTGATGTCAGTGGAACACTGCACATTCATGCTTGTCAACCTCACTGAATCTCTAATTCCAGTTTGTTGATATCTTTAACATGTTCTATAATCTAGAATATTAATTAACTTCATATCACCAGGCATGTTTAATAAAACTGCTAAACAGCATAGAGCCCCGTCGCAAATTATTAATTTTTACTCCCAATGGACAATGATACATTCATTACAAAAACCAATCTTTGAATAGTATTTCTCAGTAACTCTCTTAGCTCTTAGTAATTTCTCTTAACTCTCTTATAAATATACTGTCATCGGTTAGGCACAATGGCTCACGCCTGTAATCCTAGCACTTTGGGAGACGGAGGTGGGCTGATTGCCTGAGCTCAGGAGTTCAAGACCAGTCTGGGCAATGTGGCCAAACCCCGTCTCTACTAAAAATACAAAAAAATTAGGCATGGCAGGGTGCTAGTGTTCGCCTCTAGTCCCAGCTATTCCTGTGGATTTCACTGTTTTGGCTAGGCTGCTCTTGAACTCCTGACCTCATGATCCACCCACCTCAGCCTCCCAACGTGTTGGGATTACAGGTGTAAGCCACAGCACCCAGCCCAGTCTTTAATTTTAATACTATTTCTGCCATTAACATCTAACTCACAATTTAGAATGCCAAACACTATTGTTCCTTTCCCGGACACTTAGAACATATGCAGATGTTTATCTCACTGCAACCTGCCATAGTCTCCGTAGTTGTCAAAAATTACCCACCATGACAACCATTATGCATACTGTGAAACAACACACGCGAACGTGAAAAGGTAGCGGTTACCCAGATCATTCATTTCCCAAAATCTAGCGCCTGATCAAATACCCTCATAATTTGTTTTTTATTTTGCAGTTCTAACATACTGCTTTGGTGATATTTGGCCTGTGTACCATGTATGTATTCTTTATTTAATATTTTTTCCCAAAATGATATTTTTAGTTAATTAAATGTATTATGAAAAGAAACTTTCCATCTACTGTAAATGGAAACCCAGTACCACAAATAGAGAATAACTTTAAAGATAAATAAAATAAATACAAAATGACTTCTTAAATGCTGATCAAAGTGCCTACCGAAAACACTGTCTTTAACCTGCTCTTTGTTACAAAAAATGGAGATCAGTAAATTTATAAGAAATGTATAGCTTTAATGATTTCATCCAGAAAGAAGAAATGCTACAAATTAATGAGTTAAGTATCCATATTAAGAACTTAGAAAAAAATATCTTGGGGGTAAACCCAAAGAAAATAGGAAATAAAAATGAGAGCAGAATTAATGAAAGAGAAAACAAAGATACAGTGGAGACTAACAGAAAAAATAAAATTTAATTATTTAAAAACACTACTAAAATTGGCAAACTTCTGGAAGACTGATCAAGGTAAAAGAAAAAAAGTCAGCCGGGCACAGTGGCTCATACCAGTAATCCTAGCACTTTGGGAGGCCAAGGAGGCCAGATCGTTTGAGACCAGCCTGACTAACACGGTGAAACCCCATCTCTACTAAAATTAAAAAATTAGCTGGGCATGGTGGCACATGCCTGTAATCCCAGCTACTTGGGAGGCTGAGGCAGGAGAATTGCTTGAACCCAGGAGGCGGAAGTTACAGTGAGCCAAGATCGCGCCATTGCACTCCAGCCTGGGCAACAAGAAACTCCATCTCAAAAAAAAAAAGGAGAAGGGAACTTTTTTTAAGTGCGAATTAAAAGGCAAATCTTGTGCTTACCAGTGGTAACGATATTTCTCAATCTCTATATCTACTCAGCATGTATTGGAGGGAGCAGCCAGAACAAGACAGGAAAAAACAAAGAGGAACAGGGAGGAGGGGAAGAGGGAAAAAAAAAAGTAGAGTATTTGTAGAGTACTCCACAGAATTCAGACAAACTGACAATATCAATAATAGATTTTTTCAAAATTACTGTTATTAATTAAATTTCATTTTACATACCAGCAAGAGTTTAAGTAAAAAGTGTTTGTTAATGATAGACATTTACGGTAGCAAGAAAAAAAAATGTTATCTTGGAATAATTATTATTTTATTTTATTTTTGAGATGGAGTCTCAGTCTCTCTCCAGGCTGGAGTCCAATGGCTTTATCTCGACTCACTGCAACCTCTGCCTCCTGGGTTTAAGCAATTCTCCTGCCTCAGCCTCCTGAGTAGCTGGGGCTACAGGTGTGCACCACCACACCCAGCTAATTTTTGTATTTTTAGTAGAGATGGAGTTTCACCATGTTGGTCAGGATAGTCTTGATCTTTTAACCTCATGATCTGCCTGCGTCAGGCTCTCAAAGTGCTGGGCTTACAGGCAGAAGCCACTGGGCCTGGGACTAACAATTATAATGGAAGAACTTATATAGGAATTTTAGAAAGAAAATCTATAAACTTAAATGAAAGACATTAAAGAGACCCTTTCAAAAATGGAGATATGTACATGATTAACCAGAAGGTTCAGTATCATTGAAATGTCAACTCTCCTCAAATTGATCTTTTAATTCAAAGCAATTTGAATCAAAACTCTAACAACCTTATAAAATAAAAAGACAATAACCAAAGACACTACTTAAGAAGAAGAGGGAAGGCTTGCTGTAGAAGATATTAAGCTTTAACATGAAACCAAAATGATCATGTGGCATTCACACAGGAACAATCAACGAGAGTAAAAGGCTCAGAGACATACCCTTGCATTAATGGGAACCTGATACATGAAAGAGGTATGGCGGGGTTTATTGGAGGAAAGCTGGGCCATTCCAAAAATGTTACTGGGGCAAGTGCTTAACTAAATGGAAACAAGCACAAAAATTTTTCTATACCCCACGCTGTGTATGGGTATCAAATCTAGATGATTAAGCACATAAGTGAGAAAATCAAACCTTAAACATTTTAGAAGGAAGTGGAACACAGTATCTTTATGGCTTCAGAGTAGAGAAGAATTCCTTAAACAACAAATAGAAAGCAATAACCCTAAAGGAAAGGATTGTTAAATTCAAACTACAAGCCAGGGCGTGGTGACTCACACTTGTAATCCCAGCATTTTGGAACACTGATGCAGGCAGATCCTCTGAGCTCAGGAGTTTGAGACCAACCTGTGCAACATAGCAAAACCCCATCTCAACAAAAAATACAAAAATTAGCCAGGCATGGTGGCACATGGCTCTAATCACAACTACTAGGGAGGCTGAGGTGGGAGGATCACTTGAGCTCAGGAGGCAGAGGCTGTTGTGCGCTTAGAATATCACTGCACTCCAGCCTGGGAGCAAGATTCTATCTCAAAAAGAAGTTCAAGCTACATTAAAATTAAGAACTTCTGCTCACCTAAGTCAAGCTACATAAAATAGAAGATATTTGCCACACAGCAATCAGCAAAGGCTTTGTGTTCAGTATACAGAAAGAACTCTTGAAAATACAAAAAGAAACAACCAAAGAGAAAAGTGGAGAGCCGGCAACAGGCTGTAATTTATATTCTTTCATATTCATAATACCTTCATTTAAATATAATACAAAGACTATCTCTGCTTGTAATGAAATATATATTTAGTTCAACTTAATTTTTACTGTTTTAAATTACAGAAATGCTTTTTGTTCCTTAATAATTATGTGCTTAACGTTTTACAAGATTTTCAGACATATGTGTTTCTCTTGCATATAAATTCTCATCTGATATGTGTCCACATTTGAGTACTTTAATATAGCACCCATTTCCTTTTTTTTTTTTTTTTCCTGAGACAGAGTCTCGCTTTGTTGTCCAGGCTGGAGTGCAGTGGCGCCATCTCGGCTCACTGTAACCTCCGCCTCTCAGGTTCAAGTGATTCACCTGCCTCAGCCTCCCAAATAGCTGGGATTACAGGCATCCATCACCACGCCCGGCTAATTTTTGTATTTTTAGTAGGGATGGGGATTCGCCATGTTGGCCAGGATGATCTCGAGCTCCTGACCTGAAGTGAGCCACCTGCCTCACCCTCCCAAAGTGCTGGGGTTACAGGCGTGAGCCACAGCACCCGACCAGAATATCATTTTTTAATCTAGCATTTGTGACTACCAAGGTGCCCATGGGTGTGTCTCCACAGGCACCGCCCTCTTCGTGGGGAGAGTGGGTGGGGAGTTTCTGTGCTCCCTCCACCCACCCCCATCATCCGGAAACTTGCACTCCTGCACACGTGGTGGAGAAGGCGCCATTTTGGCCCAGGAGGCTACTGGGTAAGATGTTCCTGAGGCTCTGCTCAGGGCCAGGAGATGAGGCCCAAGGGCTAGACTTGGGACCCCAGAGACGTACCACACCGGACTGCCCGACTGGAGTGAGCTGGTGCCCGAGAGCAAGAGCACAGCCCGTTGCGGGGCCTGTGTGAACCCGCAGGGCGGCTCCGCCATGGCACCAGGGGCCGGTCCCGCTCGGTTCAGACACCAGAGCCGAGAGGGGGCTGTGCCAAGACCACACACGGCACCAGGGGCCAGTCCCGCTCGGTTCAGACACCAGAGCCGAGAGGGGGCTGTGCCAAGACCACGGGCCCTCCAAGAAAGCCCCGGAGCCAGCCAGCAGCGCCCAGGAACTGCCGAAAGCTTCGGCAAGGTACGCTCTGGACCAACACGGCTTTTAGTGTCTTTTCCCGGTGGTGGTGAATTTCTGCAAGGTGGGTAGGCCATGTTCAGGGCTGCCTTAGCCATTTGCAGGCCTAAAAGCCATCTAGGAGAGACCCACAATGGGAAATCTAGACAGGGCTTGATTCGGCCCGCCATTTCATTTCTCAGTGTGGTTTCTCATGTTTCTTGGGAAACTGGGCCTGGGTTAGTTATTTCTCCATGCCACCCTTTCCTTCTTGAATTTCTTGTAGTGTGCAGTTGCTATTTTTCCTTTTATATTGCAATCTCGAGCCCCACATTTTCTTCCGTTCTAATCTGTGCGTCCTCCATGCAAAGCCTGTGGTGGGGCTAGCTCTGGGGCTAGTTGAGCAGCCTTGCACTCCTGTTGGATGTAGGAGTTTCATCGCTGTTTCTGTGTGTGTTCACATTCTGTTATGAGTTACGTATCTTGAGAATGATTGAGAAGTGTTTTCATAGTTTAAAAGAATGCATATTCTTTGGGGAGATGATTTTATTGCATTTGGCCAGAGAATATGTGACCATTCAGTCGTTGAGGACTGGTATGTACACCTAGGGACTGGGTGTCCATATGGAGCCTGATGTCCCTCCGGACCTAGCTGCCCACATGGGTCCTGGTGTCCCCTTGGAGTAGTCTGATGTTCCCTAAGGGCCTGAGCATCCACTTGGGTCCTGATGTTCATCTAGGACCCGGTGTTCACCTAGGGCCTAAGAGTCACCTGGGGACTGGGTGGGTTCCTTGGGCCTCATGTCCACCAGTGGTATAGGTAGCTGCTATGTTGGGCCTGTGTGTCAACCTGGTGCCTGATGTCCACCTGTGGATTAGATACCCACCTAGGCCTGCTGTTCACCTTGGACTTGGTGTTTACCTGGAACCAAGATGGGGTCTGACAGTCACCTAGGGCCTGGCCTGGTACTTTTCTGAGGTGTGACTATGAACCTGGGGACTAAAGTCTACATGGAATCCAGTGTCTACCTTGGGTCTGATGTCCACCTGGGGCCCAATGTTAAGCTGGCACCTGGTACTTATCAAGGGCCTGAGTGTCCACCCCAGGCTTGATTTCAGCTGGGCCCTGAAGTTCTCCTAGTTCCTAGTGTCCACCTGAGGCCTTAGTGTCAGCCTGGGACCAGACATCCACCCGGGCCTGAGTGCTACCCAGTGCCTGAGAACTTCCTGGGCCTGGATGTCAACATGGGACCTAGATGTGCACCTGGGGCCTGATGTTCACTGGATGGGGGCCTAGGTATCCACCTGGGGCTGGTGTCCACCCAGGACATTTGGAATCAAGTGTTCACCTGGAGCCAGAGTGTCCATCAGGGGCCTGTTTTTGACCTGGGACCTGGGCATTTACCTGGGGCCTCAGTGCCCACTTGGGGGCTGACATCCACTTGGCTGTTGGCGTCCACCCGGGCCTAATGTCCACCAGAGTCCTGGGTATCCTCCTGGGGCCTGGTGTCCACCTAAAGTGTAGGTATCTATCTGGGGCCTATTGTTTACCTGGGTCTTAGGTATCCATCTGGGACCTGGTATGCACCTGGGGCCTATGTCCACTTTGGGCCTGTTGTTCCTCTGGGGCCTTGTGTCCACCTGGGCCCTGGGTGTCAGCTTGGTACTAATAGCCACCTGTGGCTTCCATAGCCACCTGGGCCCTGGTGGTCATTTGAAGCCTGGTGTTCTCCAGGGACTTGATGTCAACCTGAGGTGTAGATATTCATCTAGTCCTGGGTGTCCACCTGGGGCCAGATGTCTAGCTCCAGTCTGTGTCCCTTTGGGGCCTGATATTCACCAGGAACCTAGGCATTTACTTGGCACCTGGTATCCATGTGGTGTGTGCTGTCCCATGAGGACTGATATTCAGCTCAGGACTGGGTATCCACCAGGGGGCTGGGTATCCACCTCAGGTCTATTGTACTCCTGGTACCTGAGTGTTTACCTGGGGTCTGATATCCACCCAGTCCTGTTGCCTACAAAAACCCTCATGTCCCCCTTGAGCCTAGATGTCCACCTGTCCTTGGTATCCTCTGTGGAATGGGTGTTCACCTGTGACATTGTGTTCATCTGTGGCATGGGTGTGAGCCTGGTGCCTCATATACACCTCAAGTCCAGTGTCCACCTGGGTCCTAATGTCCATCTGGGGCCTGATGTCCACATGGAAACTGGGCATTCACACCTGCAGCCTGATGTCCACCAGGAACGGTATGTTAGCCTGGGGTCAAGGTGTCCACCTGGGGCATGGTGTTCACCAGGGTCCTAGGCATCCACCTGGGGCCTGTTGTCTACCTGGGGCCTACTGTTCACTGTGGCCCTGGTATTTACCTGGGGCCTAGACATCCACTTGAGGCCTGAAGTTTAAGTGGGGCCTGGTGTTCAACTGGGGCCCATGTGTCAACATGGGAACAGACATACACCAAAATGCCCGATGTCCGTCCACCTGGGGCCTGGCATATACCTGGGGTCTTGTGTCCAACTTGGGCCTGATGTAAACCTGGGGACTGGTGTTTACCTACGGCCTGAGTGTCCACCTATGGTGTATCTAAGTAAGTAAGGACATTTGAGAGGTCATTAGGCCTGTACGTGAACATGCAAATATCCAGTCATAATAACTAGAAAAAAGCTATGTGCAAAGGAGTTTTTTGATGTACCTTATTAAATCATTGAATGGAACATGACCTTTCATTAAACAAGTTCCTAACACATGTTTTATGGACTCTAATAAATGAGATTACAGAGGCTAGTAGGCCTATATATAAACATGAAAATTCAACTGTGAAACTAAAAAGAAGCCATGTGAAAGAAGCTTTGTGATGTGCTTTATTATATCACTCAATGTAACCTGTGTTTTTATTAAAGAAGTTCTAAGCACACGTTTTGTACAAATTAAGGAATGACATTTCAGAGGCTTTTAGGCCTACATATGAATATGTGGATATTTATCCTTAATAACTAAAAACAATCTGTGCACAAAGCAGCTTTGCTATGTGATGTTTCTTATCACTGACTGGAACCTGTGTTCTCATTAAACAATTTCCAAACACACATTTTGTAAAACCTAAGGAATGACATTCCAGAGGCTATTATGTCTTATGTGGATATTCAAATATCCATCCCTAATAACTAAAACAGGCTGTGTACGAAGATGCTTTGTGATGTGCTGTTTCATATAACTGAAAGAAACCTGTGTTTCTACTAAACATGTACCAGAAACACATTTTGTAGAACCTAACTAATGAAATAACAGACATTATTAGGCCTATATATGAACGTAAGAATATCCAGACCTATTAACTAGAAAAAAGCTATGTGTGAAGAAGTGCTTTGTTATATCACTAAATGAAATGTGAGTTTCCATCAAACAAGTTGTAAAAACACATATTGTAGAATCCATTTAGAGATTTCAGAGGCTATTAGGCCTATATGTAAACGTATGAAAATCCAGCCCGAATAACAAGCTATGTGAGTAGAAGCTTTGTGATTTGCTGTTTTATATCAATGACTGGAACCTGTGTTTTTATTAAACAACTTCCAAACACATTCTTTAGCACCCAAGAAATGACATTTCAGAGGCTATTAGATCTATACATGAATATGCAAATATCCGTCCCTAATAACTAGAAACAATCTATGGACGAAGAAGCTTTGTGATGTGCTCTTTCACATCACTGAACAGAACCTGTGTTTTTTCGTTTTTGTTTTGTTTTGTTTTGTTTTTTGAGACAGAGTCTTGCTCTGTCGCCAGGCACCAGGCTGGAGTGCAGCGACATAATCTCGGCTCACTGCAACCTCTGCTTCCAGGGTTCAAGCAATTCTCCTGCATTAGCCTCCCGAGTAACTGGGACTACAGGCGTGCACCACCACACCCAGCTAATTTTTGTATTTTAGTAGAGATGGGGTTTCACCATGTTGGTCAGGATGGTCTTGATCTCTTAACCTCATGATCCACCCACCTTGGCCTCCCAGAGTGCTGGGATTACAGGCGTGAGCCACTGCACCTGGCCAGAACCTGTGTTTTTATTAAATTCCAAACACACATTTTGTAGAACCTGCAGAGTGACATTCCATAGGCTATTAGGCCTATATATGAATAAATGAATATCTATCCCTAATAACGAAAACCAATCTATGTGTGAAGCTTTGGGGTATGCTGTTTGATATCACTGAATGGAATCAGTGTTGCTGTTAAACAAGTTCCAAAAGCACATATTGTGAGTATCTAAGTCAGGACATTTCAGAGATATTAGGCCTATATATGAACCTGCAAATATCCAGCCCTACTAACTAGAAAAAAGCTATGTGGGAAGAACCTTTGTGATGTACTTTATTATATCACTGAATGGAACATGAGTTTTCATTAAACAAATTCCAAACATATGTTTTGTGGAATCTAATTAATGAGATGGCAGAAGCTTTTAGGCCTATATATAAACCTATGAATATGCAGCCCTAGTAACCTAAAAGCACGCTATGTGTGAAGAAGCTTTGAGCTTTGTGATATACTATTTCATACGAATGAATGGAACTCGTGTTTTTGTTAAGCAAGTTTCAAGCACTCATTTTTTAGAACCCAAGCAATGACATTTCAAAGGATATTATGCCTATGTATGACTATATGAGTATCCATTCCTAATAACTAAAAACAGCTTTGTGATGTGTTGTTTTGTATCACTGAATGGAACCTGTGTTTTTATGAAACAAGTTCCAAACATGTTTTGTAGAATCTACAAAAATGGCAGTTCAGAGGTTATTAGGTTTATATGTGAACATATAAATATCCACTAGTAATAACTAGAAACAAGCTATGTGTGAAAAAACTTTCTGATACGCTTTATTGCATCACTGAATGCAACCGGAATTTCCATTAAACAATTTCCAAACACACATTTTGGAGAATCTAAGAAATGAGATTTCAGGCTGGGTATGGTAGCTCACACCTGTAATGCCAGCACTTTGGGAGGCTGAGGCGAGTGGATCACCTGAGGTCAGGAGTTTGAGACCAGCCTGACCAACAAGGAGAAACCCCATCTCTACTAAAAATACAAAATTAGCTGGGTGTCGTGGCACATGCCTATAATCCCAGATCCTCAGGAGGCTGAGGCAGGAGGAACTAGAAACAAGCTATGTGTGAAAAAACTTGGGAGGAACTTGGGAGGCAGAGGTTGCAGTGAGCTGAGATTGTGCCATTGCACTCTAGCCTGGGCAACAAGAGTGAAACTCCACCTCAAAAAAAAAAAAAAAGAAATGAGATTTCAGAGGCTGTTACAGCTATATATAAACATACAGATTTTCAGCCGTAATAATGAAAAACAGGCTATGTGAGAAGCTTCTGATGTGCTCTTCTATATAAATGAATGGAATCTGTTTCCATGAAACAAGTTCCAAACACGTTTCGTAGAATCTCAGATATGACATTTCAGAGGCTATTAGACCTATATATGAACATCCAGTTCTAATAACGAAAACCAAGCTATGTGCAAAGAAACTTTGTGATATGCTGTTTTAAATCACTGAATGGAACCTTTGCATTAAACAAGTCCAAACACATTTTACGAATCTAAATAAGTACATTTCTGAGGTTGGTAGGCCTATATATGGACATATGAATATCCAGCCCAATTAATCATTAAGACGATATGGGTGAAGGAGCTTTGCAATGTGCTTTATTATATCGCTGATTGGAACCTATTGTTCCATTGTGTCCAGCAGTGGCCTGGGTATGAGCCTAGTGCCTAGTGTACACCTCAAGTCCAGTGCCTATGTGGGGCCTGATGTCCATCTGGGGACTGGTGTCCACTTGGGGCCTGATGTCTACATGGGAACTGGGCATTCACCTGGGGCCGGATGTCTATCTGGAGCCAAATATTCCCCTCGGGTCATATTTGGTGTCCCCTCAGGACACCAACCCACCTGGTGTCCACCTGGGGCTTGATGTTCACCAGGGGCCTAGGTATCTACCTGGGGCCTCCTGTTCACCTTGGACCTGATACTTACCTGGTGACTGGACATCCACTGGGGCCTGATGTTCATCCAGAGCTGGTGTTCAACTGGGACCTCTGTGTCCACCTCGGACCTGACATACACCAAGATGCCTGCTGTCCACCTGGAGCCAGGTTTCCACCTGGGACCTGAATATACCTGGGGCCCTGTGTCCACCCAGGGCCTGGTATTAACGTGGGCATCCACCAGGGGCCTGATGTTCAGCTGGGGCCTGGAGTCCACCTGGGGCCTATGTGCCAAACTGGGACCTGACGTCCACCTGGTGCCTCATGTTTATGCAGGGACTGGAGTCCACCTGGCTGGGGCCTGGCATCAACCTAGTATGATGTCCAGTGTCCACCTGGAGTCCTGTGTCACTTGGGGCCTGATATGCTGAGGCCTTGGTGTCCATTGGGGCCTTATATCCATGGCGGTAGGAGGAGGGGGAAATCCTTGTCTCCGTGGGCCCTGCCTGCCCTTTTCATGGGGAGAGTGGGTGTGCAGTTTCTGTGCCCCTGCCCCTCAGCATCTAGGAATTCACCCTCCTGTACACATGGTGGGGAAGACGCCATTGTTGCCCACTTGGCACCCAGGTAAGTCACCCCTACTGCTCTGCTCAGGATGTGAAGATCTGAGGTGGGTGCTGGACTTGGGGCCACAGAGCCTTCACCCCACCTGACTGCCTGCGGGAGTCAGCTTATGCCTTGGAGCTGGAGTGTGGCCACTGAGAGTCTGCGTAACATGGCAAAGAATATTAGTATATACAAAATTTTTATATAGTTGAAATGTTATTGATAGTAAAATTAAAATGCAGTATGATAGGATTACCTTGTAGGAGTGTGGTGCTTAGACACAAGTATAGGCCTTCTGTGAACCCAGAAAATCTGAGACAGGTCTCAGTTAATTTAGAAAGTTTATTTTGCCAAGGTAGAGGATGCATCTCTTACACAGCCTCAGGAAGTCCTGATGACATGTGCCCAAAGTGGTCAGGGCACAGCTTGGTTTTATACATTTAGGGAGACATAAGACATCAATTAGTGTATGTAAGAGGCACAGGCCAGACTGAGATGGAAGAATCGCTTGAACCCAGGGGATTGGAGGTTGCAGTGAATCGAGATTGTGCCATTGCACTCCAGCCTGGGCAACAGATTGAGACTCTGTCTCAATAAAAAAAAAAAAAAAAGAAGTACACTGATTCGGTGCAGAAAGGAGGGACGACATGAAGCAAAGGCAGAAGACTGGAAGTGGGAAGGGAGCTTCCAGGTCACAGATAGGTGATAAACAAACGGTTACATTCTTTTGAGTTTCTGATTAGCCTTTCCAAACGAGGCAAATCTATCTCAGTGAGTAGAGGAGTGACTTTGAATAAAATGGGAGGCAGGTTTGCCCTAAGCAGTTCCTGGCTTGAGTTTTCCTTGGTGATTTTGGGGTCCTAAGATATTTTCCTTTCACACCCTCAAACCTCATTTCTTCCCCCTTCTCTTTCTGAAAGGTAGGAAAGCTGCTTCTACCCTACCACTTGGGGAGTGGCACCACCTGATGGAAGAAATCGGTCTTAGGTCTTCTCACCGTGGCTTGAGAATCACATAATCTCTTTGTGCCTGACTTTCCTCAACCCTAAACAGGGCCAGCTTGCCTTATTCATGAACTGTGTTGTAACAGCACTTAGTCAACTGCAGACGGCTTTTGCAAATATTAGATGCTACTACCATTGCTGATGTGGTATTTTTTAACACATGAAGTGAAGTGAAATGTGTTCATGATATTCTCTGTGCAATGATTGATGACCTCTTCTCATGCTTCTGAGGTCAAAACAATCAATGCTGCCCAACAGCTGTTAGGGACGGAGACTCCCCTCCTCTCCAGCTTGAAACCTGAAGCTGCTGCCCACAGCTAACAAGCACGTGTGCCACTCAGTGACCTCTTGGCCTTCCCAGCAAAAATATCCTATTTTGGCATCCAGGCTTGACCCACAGTAGGAAGACTTGGCACTACTGTACATATGATCTCATTTAAGGAGTAGGAAGATTAACATGCCAGCTGATGTTTGGATGGGAAAAGTTCTTTGAGTTACACAGTTTGAAACAGAAACAGCCAGGAGACTTGGGACTTAAATCACAACCATTATATAAGTAATGCGTGCTGTTCCCTGAGCGAAACGCTGCCCTTTGGCAGAGGTAGGCGGGAGAAGAGTGTGGGAAGTGAAGAAGCTCCTGAGGTGACAAAGTGAATTGCACCAGAGAGAAGGGGGATAAAGCAAGCTTCCCAGGAACTGGCACAGGAACATCTAGCTGTCCCCAGAGGACTGGACAAGAAAGGCCTCTCTTGCAGGGATGAGATTAAAATACAATCAGGAGCCACTGTGTTACTTTATCTCCTTTGATATGCTGCCTTGTCTGTTTAAGGGTGTCTTTGGGACTAGTAAGTCGCTTTCGCTAAAGGACTTGTTCCCTTTTCACTCACAGACACGCCCCTGCAGCTGCACCTGGCAGAATAGCTTGAGTTTCCCTGGAAACTCTCCGAGAAAGGAATAGAGGCAGAATTGCCCTTTGTGATCTCCTAAGAATGGGGTCCATGTTCATCCAAAGATGGGAATGAAAAATTCATCCGTTTTTAACCTGTTCGGCCAAATTCATATGTGGTTCAATCCTCTGGGATATGGTGAAAGCTGACCCTTGAAAGCCCCTAACATTAAAAAACAAGGAGCCAAATGCAGACAGACTTCAGGACCACAGAACGCCTCCATGAGAATTATCAGCAAAGCAATCATCTCACCCTCCTGACTTCAGGAGAAAACATGAGTCAGCAAAGACTAAATTGTTTTAAAAATGGAATCTTTGCAAAATGGAAAAGCCAAATGAATTCACGCTGTAAATCAATGGACCTTTAAGGCACAGCAAGCATTATGGATGACATTAATGAAAGACCTGTGTCGGCATAGTGTGCTGCTGGAAAGGTCAGGGTCACCATAGCCACTGCCCGACCTTAAATATAATCCAGAAATTGAATATGTACATAAAATAGTTTCTAGAGCCCCACAGGTGAAGCAAAGGTGAGTGCTACTGCTCTTTTGTGTGTGCTTAATTAAAGATTTTGATGTAAAATGTCAAATAGAAAAGATAGCGTATTTCAGATTTAATAAGAAAAACATATAAATTATTACCCCAGTGTTCAAATCCCTCTATGTCATACAAATGTTTCTTGTCTACTTTGCTGAAAGTTCCTCAAGAATATCTTATTCACCTTTGACTCCCCTACTTAGGTTTATGGATACAGAAAGTATTCAATAAAGAGTGAAAAATTTAGTCACTTTATCCAATTTGCAGATAATAAAACTACACATATTTTGTGTGTAGTTTAGCCCCATATTCTAGCTTGTCAACTGGCAGAGCTAATTGTGGGAGGCTGGGGACTGGCACTGAAATAGAAGCACCCAGAGTCTTAGGTTTGCCTTCAAAAGCTCAGTTTATCCTCAAAGATAAAATTTTACATAAAAATAACATCAGATATAGTGAATTGTATGGTATGTGAATATCTCAATAAAGTTGTTAAATGAAATATTAAAAATAGATTATATGACTAAAATATATTTGACTTTTAAGTGTCATTTCAGAATACTTGATAATATCTTAATTGATACTATCTAATAATACCTGACTTTTTGAAGGGAAAAATAATATTCGATTATTTCTTAAAAACTAACTTTTAGGAGGGTTGACCATGTACAGCCATGGCAGAGGCTCACTAAACTGTTATTCAATCTTTGAGGTGGGGATTTTTAACTTGAGTCCCATTTAAGGAGGAAGCTGAGGCTGCAAGAAGTTAACTGTGAGAACTTGTATGATGTGGAGTCGGGTTCCAAAACCCCGTCTATCTTACTCCAAATACATTTAAAATCTTGGGTATTTTTTTTTTAATTCTTAGCAGGGACTCTCAGGAATATGATGGTAAATTGAACATAGATCAGTTCTTCATTATCAGGATTGTCTCTGAATTGTCAGTTAGCATAAACATTTAATAAACAGTATTGGCTGGGCTCACGCCTCTAATCCTGGCATGTTGGGAGGCTGAGGCAGGCAGCTCACTGGAGATCAGGGTTCAAGACCAGCCTAGACAACATGGTGAAACTCCATGTTTACTAAAAATACAGAAATTAGCTGGGCCTGTTAGCAGGCCCTTGTAATTCCATCTACTCAGGAAGCTGAGGCAGGAGAATCACTGGAACCTGAGAGGTGGAGGTTGCAGTGAGCCAAGATCGCACCACTGCACTCTAGCCTGGGTGACAGACAACATCTCAAAATAAATTAATTAATTAAACTAAAGGGAGGCTGGGTGTGGTGGCTCACACCTGTAATCCCAGCACTTTGGGAGGCTGAGGCGGGTGAATCATGAGATTGGGAGATGGAGACCATCCTGGCCGACATCCTGTGTCTACTAAAAATACAAAAATTAGCTGGGCGTGGTGGTGCACACCCATAGTCCCAGCTGCTTGGGAGGCTGAGGCAGGGGAATCACTTGAACCCGGGAGGCAGAGGTTGCGGTGAGCCGACATCACGCCACTGCACTCCGGCCTGGCAACAGAGAGAGACTCCATGTCAAAAAAAAAAAAACTAAAGGGATATTTGGTGTAATTGACAGAAAACTCATAAAGATTGGTTGTAACTTATGTTTGAAGCTTAAAGACCTAACAAACTAATATCTTTAAGCTTTAAGTAGCTATCATTTATCAATTAAAGCTCTGTTTATATCATATTGCCAGATTTAGCAAATAGAAATTATAAACATATACACCTTAAGTTTGAGTTTCAGATATACCATGAATTATTTTTAGTATGTTTCTGTCTTATGCAATATTTTGTGTATTTTATCTTGTAACCCTATTAGAATTTTTAAAATAGGTAAATGTATTACTGCATTAAAAACAAAGAAAGAAGGCTAAACTATTGGTATATAAAAATGTGCACAAATTCTATTTACATATAAAATTCAAATACTCGTTTCTAGCACCTACTACTTTAATGAAGTAAAGAGGTTTATAAAATTTAAATGAACACCCATAATTATATTACGGTGGCTTTGATTTATTTTTAAATGTCATTTCAGAACATATTAAATTAAAAGGCTATGTAGACTGTGAAGCCCTCATTTTCTGCCCTAGATGACAGATTCATGGTTTAACTTGAGCAGAATATTTAAAACAAATGTTTGTTTTGATGTAAGGTTATTATAAGTGGACAGATCTCTCCTGACAAAAGCCAGAATCAGTGTGGCACATTGGGTTTCATATCATCATCAACTTGAAGTGCCTTGATGGGGATACCATGGTAGGAACAGAACTCAAGAGTTCAGTCTGAGAACTAACTCACTGATGCTAACTAAGAGAATTGAGTCTTACCATCTCTTCAACTTTTCCTTTACTAATAAATACTTGGGGTTCTACTCTCAAACTTACATTTTGTAATCGGCAAAATGGAGCTGCCTGCTTCATAAGGCTATTGTAAGAATCAATGAGACAAAAGCATTTTATTTGATCAAATAATTATTATAAACTGAGGGTACCCTAAAGAGAGCCATCTGAATCACTCAGCCAGAACTTGAAAGAAATTTAAAGATTATTTGATGTCTCTTACCGTAGAGATGACATTAAAAGGCTTTCTCATTAGCACAAGAGAAGCCAAAGCAGGGCTAGAGCCACACCCTTTGGTCTTCAATCCAGTGCTTTTCCCAACTTTACTATGTTCCCCTTTAGGTAGGGGTGCAACAGCCTTATCCTAGACGTTAAAATCTGATACAGTGTCCTAAGTGTAGAGTTCAAGGAAAGACAAGATGGCAGGAGAATGGCACATAAAGTAGAAATTAAAATAGTAACAGGATTGGCAATGCAAAGAGCAAATTGCCACCCAGGCTGTCCAAGATCAGAATAGCAGTGGAAATTGTTCTGACTTCCAATTTGGCATCCTCCACATCAATCACATTTAGTGATACTCATGTAGGCCCATGGTGGAAGCAGTCAGTATCATCATTGCTGCTGTCGCCAAGGATTTAGGAAGAGTTGTACAAAGGGAATTGGCTTTCCCTCTTCCAAAGAATAGTCTTATGGCAACATGGAAACATCACCATTCTTTTTATACACAAGAGGTCTTAGAACAGTGTTTTGTGCATAGCAAGAACCGAATATAGATTTTGTACTGATCAGATGCACGCAGCCAGAAGTGCACTTAAAAATTTATTCCTTTAGGGAAATGGTGCATGAACCACTCTCGCATGCTTCACCATGGATGGGTGGTTAGGTAGATGGTGGATTGAGTGAGAAAACAACAAAACTCTTACTAAATAGTGACACCATTTGAAGAACCTGCTAGGGGCCTTCACATATATCACCTGGTTTCAGCCCTGTGACCACTAAGTGAATAATTGCATCATCTCTGACACAGGAAGGAACTGAGGCTCGCAGAAGTAACGGGGATTGTGAGGGGCTGCAGAGTGAGGATGTGGTGGAGCTGAGATTTGAACCCAGGGCTTCTGGGGACAAATCCAGTTTAAAGCAACAGTTCATGAGATGCTTTGGATGTAAACAAACCTTAGTCTTCAAGGGCTGTAATTGGACTTTTCTTCCTACTATGTGAAGAATAGAAAACAATCATGGGAAACGTTCTTATATACCAAGTAAGATATAAGGAAAATATAGAAATGTGGAGAATCTGGTTTGCTTTGTTTGAAAGAGAGACTGAAGGAATCTTTAAGACCCAAGGAGAAAAGAAAGAAAAAATTGTCCATTCAAACAGCCCAGGTAGGTGAAGAAAGGATGAAGGGGACAGCTAAGGAGGAGAGAGGAAAGGAAACTGGGGGTGGTTGAGGAAAGGAAACTGGGGGTGGTTGTCACAGCCCAAAGTGAGACTTCCAGGCAAGATTAGGGAAAGCAATCTGGACGGTCATAAGTAAAACTGTTGGGACATCATGAGCCTGCATTAACATAGAATGCATCTGATTATCAATGGGCAGCTTAAAAAAAAATACTTGTCATGTGTCAAATACAGCGGAATTAAATGTCAGTTGGTATTACTTTTTTTTAGTCCATGACCCGCTGAATCAATTACTTTTATCTGCACTGGTGGAAGATGAAGAGTTCCCCTTCAAAACAACTTCGGGGCAGCTTGTGCTTAGGAAGCACGTGGAATCAGCCTGGCTTCTGCCTTCTTCTTAAGCAGAACAGGCTTTATCCATCTTCAGATGTAGAATAAAATTAAAGCCAAAATAATTGATATGTTATAATAGAAACAAATCCAGTCCTCTTCTCTGTTTTCTTCCTCTCCAGTTTTCTTCCTTATTATAAGGAAGAAAAAAAGACAGCAAGAGAGAGGTTCTGTTGCTAGAGCTGGAAAACTCTTTCAGATAATCTAATGATCACTTATTAGAATAAAATTAAATATGTGAAATGTTTTTAACTAAAAGCAGGATTTTCAAATATTATACAAGATAACCATTACATATGGCATTGTTTGAAGGCATGCTCTTTAAAGTGAGAGCGATTCTGTAACTGTAAGCTACTTTCAGAATCCCATCTTATTGTTCAGCTAGACTCTGGACCCCACACTGTGTTACTGCAGTGGCTCCATTGTGGCCATGCAGGGCGACCCGGGTGGAAATTAAAATGACAAAGCGGCTAGTCCAGCATCCTCCCCGAGGCAGATCTCTCTAGTTACCCTGCAGCGCTCCTCACCCACAAATTCACAGGCAGCCAACCCAAACTGTACATTTTCAAAAGAGCTCATTACTCACGGCTGCACGGCGCGCTGAAGGCGTGTCTATCTCCGTCCTCTCTGGAGGCGGGTATGTTAAGGAGAGTGTCCCTTTTCCTCACCCCAGCAGCTGCAGTGGCCGAGCCCTGGTTTCCCAGGCGCAGGGGACCGGATGGCCAACCACACCTCGGAGCCCGCTCGTCCGCGCAGGCTGGTCCTGTAGGTGCCCTTCTCGCAGGTCACCCAGCTGGAACCTCGGACTTACCAGGGGCTGTGGGCATCAGGGTCTCCCTGCCTTTGTTTTCCTCCAGTGCCATCTGCAGGTCCCAGCGTGACTGTCCCGCAGCCGCACTGAGTCCAGGCGGCTCCTGCCGCAGTCAGTTGCTCCCCCTATCCAGCGGTCTTTTTTTTTCTTCTTAAAGCGCCAGGACCGTCATCAACCTTAGGTGTCAATAATGCTACAAATGCAGCATTGCTGTTCAGTGTGGGGGTGACAGCCAACCACAGATTTTTTTTGTCTTCACCGGCAAAGGCTAACTTTTAGCAGTAGGTATGGCTAACAGAAG